CCTACAGTATTTTTACAGTTTTTATTTTACAGTTAAAATATATGTTTAATAAAGTTTAATGTTACAACTAATCGGGGATCCCTTTAAAATTTATCTGCTGGTTTGTGAGTTATTTTGCTAACAGGCAGAAACCTGTACACAGACACACAATAGCCTCTTACATACAAGAACAACTTGAGTAAAGCATCCAGGCAGTAAACATGCTTCTGATGTGTTTCTGTGTTGTTTTATAGCTGGACTTGTTAGCATGCGGTGGAAGTGTTTGTTAAAAGATTTTGGGGATGGAAGAGGGAAAATGTCTCTGTTTTCATGGAGCCCTGGAAGTAGAGCAGCTAGTCTGCAGCTCTGYTTACTTTGAGTTGTGTGGACAGATCCATCATTCAGCAGAAAACACAGGTAGAGTCCTTTAAAGCCAGTGGGGTGTGTGCTGTCAGAACAGGATGGTRTTTGTGGAGGGGCAGGGCCGGCTGCAGGCTGCACACCGCTGACTGTTTGCTGAGCAGACCTGTCGGGCTGCGCTCAGCTCTGATGCTGTTAACTCTGTGGAGATCCTGTAAGACAGGGAGATAAATTCTGTTCTGCTCCGGGTTCTTTCTGTCAGCGGGGAGTGCTGAGGTCAGGAAATGTGCTGGGGTCTTGCAGAAAAGAGTTTTCATCTACTCCTGCCATCATGGAGGCCAGAGAGAACATTTGTTAGAGATACGGACAGATAAGTTTACTGTTGGCAGAGCACCATGTTTCTGTTTGTTTGACTATTAAAATGATTCAGTTTCACGAAGCTCCCCTCTAAGTTATCCGTTTCCTGTCTTCAGTGTTTTAGGCTCAGAAATACACACAGTGAATACCAATTTTCAATCTCAAACTCTAGAATTTTTACTAGAGATTAAACCTTTACAACTTTGTTTTGTCATAGTGTGTTTATTTTTTTTACTTAATTTTTTTTAACAAACTGTCCATCCTACTAAGTTTTAAACTCTTATATTCAGCCAAAAAGTCTTTTTGATCTTGTTTTGAGACTGATTTAYTAAACAAGAACTGATTGTGTAAGAATAATCATCTTGTTTTCAGAATGTGTAAGATTATTTGTCTTGTTAGTCTGAAAATTTGACTCAAATTAAGTCAAAATATCTGCCAGTGGAGTAAGAAAATTTTACTTGGTGAGATTCTTGAAATACTTGATT